TCTTCAGAATGAGTTTCTTAATCTGAATCCAAGCTTAGAAGAAATGTTTAATATTAAGCACCTTTACTTACCTTCATGGATAAGTTTCAGCTTGCTCTTGCCAAGAGAGGAGTACTTCAGTAACAGCATGAAGAGTGTTCAGCCTTTTCGTAGACTTCCAGGTATCAAAATAGATTTTGATATATAAATGAAAAAAAAAACAAAACTAAATGTTATTAAAATATATTATTACCATTTAGTTATAGTAAACTGTTGACTAATATAAATAATAATATAACAGTAATGTAAATGAATGTTCAATTCTTCAGAGGCTACACTTGTTCATGGTTTGATTTGTGAAGTTATAGATGATTTTTAATGTAGTGTATGTTTGACAAGAGAATGCTGCGGTTTTTATTTGCTTGTCTGTTTTTCTGGATTCCATCAAGGTGCTATTCTACATCCCCTTTCTCTAGCATGACCTTATTGCTCAATACTGTACCTCAGGGATTTAATTTAAAAAAAAAAAAATATCTGGGAATACAGCTCAGAGTAAAGTTCCTGGGTTTAATCCCTGTATTGCACAATAAATAAATACATAAATAACAGAAAAAAACACTAAATATTAAAATAATACCAGTAGATCATGATTATTGATTTGTACATTCTGATTAGTGTGCAAGTTATTGGATCTCATTGATCCGGCTTCCTCCTTAATTTCTAGTGTTACAAAGAATGTGGCTTGCAAGCAAATATTGCCCATTAATACTGAAGACACTTTTTCACCATAAAACAATCAATAGCGCCTTCAATAGCAGTTGCTATATCCTTGAATAATTAGGGTTGCCCTCTCTGATAATGTGTATGCTGTTTAGGGAGGCATGCATGCAATTTGCTCTGCCTTAATTTGTTTGTCTATTGAATATAGTTTAATTTTAATTATCTAGCGATCGTTAGCATGCACTTTTATGTAAAGAGGAAAGGCACACTTAAATGTGCACTCTCTGCATATCATTGTCTATTACATTTACCAGTGGGTAAAATGACTTTATCACCTTTGCAAGAGTTTAAAAATGCAAATAAAAACACTGGTGCTCCCTTTGTGCCAGGTTCGTGGACAGAGGCCAGTAACACAAGTATTTCCAAAACCCAAATTGTTAGAGCAAAGAATTCTGAAGCCATTCTTGCAAGGAGGTAGAGCAGGTGGCTGCCTGCCGGGCTGCCTTTTCCTGCACACCCCACTGTGACACCTATTTCAAATGTTCCACCCTGTTTTCTCTATGAGCTACTAAACTAGTCACAGAAATGTCAACAACTTGGTATGAAAACAACAGCACACTCACTACGGCACTTTTTGAATCACTGATGCAAAAGATTTTGCTGCCAGGGCCCAAGTCCTGTACATGACGAGCCCCGCCTGAGAGCAGCCTTCTCCTAAGGTACCAAAGGCCTCCGTAGCATGGCAAGACAGCAGTACAAGTACATAGCACGCATGAGAGATGTCCACTGCAGATGAAACATCAGGCTCTCTGGGGACCCTTCCGGAAATTTGGTGAGAGCAGGCAAGAAAAAGGCCCTGGGGAGAAGCGTTGTCATGCCCGCGTTGTCTCCTCTGCCTAAGTGTTCTGCTGGACTTTGTGGTAGGATGTTGTTACGGTTTGGGTCTAACCCATCCTCCAAAGGCTCTCAGAGGTTCAACTTGTGGAAAAGGAGTTGATGCTGAGGTCTCTGATCTCATAAATGAATTAATCCACGGATGGTTTCATAAACTGAATGGACCACGAGGAGCGGGGGGCACCCTGGACGTGAGTCCTTGTGGGGTGGCATAGGTCCCTGGGGCAAGCTCTGCAAGGGCAGACCTTGGCCCTACCCCACCCTCTCTCTCTTCTTCACCTGACTGCCACAACATGAGCTGCTCTGCTCCACTGCATTCTGCTGTCACCGTGACTCTCTGCCTTGCCTCTGGCCCAGAACAACAGAGCCAAGGAACTGTGGACTGAAAACTCTAACCTATGAACCAAAGCAAGCCTGTCCTCCTTCAAGTTGGCTTCCTGGGGATTGTGTCACCACAAGAAGAGTCTAACCAACGCATGTATGGATGGACAGGTGCACTGCACTCCCCAGCTCCCTAGAAACTACTCTGAGACAGTGCAAGAGGATGGTTGGCTCCTTCTTCCATTTGATTTTCATTTTTCAATGAAAAATGGCTTTTTTCTTTTCTTTTCTTTTCTTTTTTGCGGAACCGGGGATTGAACTCAGACCCTTGTGCTTGCCGGGGAAATGCTTATTCTACTGAGCCATCTCCCCGGCCCCTTTTCAAACTTTAGGACTGCTTCTTTTTTCTGAAGTCACCAAGAGCAGCACCAAATTTTAGATAAGAAATGAAGAAAAACGCCATGAAAGCAGGATCTCTAGTCTCCCTGTCTCCTCATCGAAGCAGCAGGTTTTACAAACTTATTTGTATCTGTTGACTTTCTTCCACATCTTCATATAATAATGGAGAAATAACCACTTCTGAATGGAAAGGACACTCTCCAGTGCGCCAGCGACTTGGCCTGTGCCACACCATTCTCAGAGAACTAATCCTGACGCTTTCCAGTTTTGCCTAGTCTTCAGATACCCTGTCTTTACCAACCTCTCTGTGTATTACAGAAACATGTGCAGCCTCCTGCCTGTGCCCGTGCGTCTACCTGCCATCTCTTATCTTCCTTGCTTCCACTCAACAGCCACAGAGATGGAATCCAACAAGGATGCTTTCATCTCCCCTTCCTCCACTCAAGACAATCCCTTTTCATCCTCTCGGCCAAATGCTGCCATTAAGACTTACTGGCAAAGTCGGAGACATTAAGCTCTGGAAGCACCTCCCAGTCCTGCCTCACTAGACCTCTCCCAAGCAGTGAAGCTGACGACTTAGCTGTTAGGGATGTCATCTTCCTGGTCTCCATCTTCTGCTGTCCCTTGTGGGAGGAATTTCCATGACAAATTCCATTCTCTTCCTGTTATGCTTTGTGTCTAGGTGTGTCACACACACACACACACACACACACACACACAGCCTCATGCAGTTACTGGGGAGGATTCTAGATTTTGTCATTAATTCATGATCCACTGTGGAGACTGTGGGTGCAAGTGCTACACCGCCCTGGGGCATGTAATCTGCATGCAGTGTAAGGAAGGGA